AAAAAAAAAAAGCAACCTGGGAACTACAGGCTGGTCAGCCTAAAATCAATCCCAGGCAAAATTCTGGAAGAGATTGTAAAGTGGTCCTTGTGCATCCACCTAGGAAAAAATGCAATAATAACACGGATTTGTCAATAACAAATCCTGCCAAATTAATTGGATCTCGTTTTTTTATCAGGTAATCTCCCTGATAAACAGAGGGAATGCTGTAGACGTAGTAAATCTTTACTTCAGCAAAGGTTTTGACCAAGTGCCCCATGATATCCTGATTACCAAGCTAACTAGGTGTGGGCTGGATAGATCATGTGCCAGGTGGATACATAATCAGCTACAGAATTGTACTCAGAGGATGATGATTAAATGGGTCCTTCTCTAACTGGTAGGAGGTAAGAAGTGGGATACCCAAGGCTCAGTTCTGGGCCTGGTGCTCTTCAATATTTTTTATTAATGACTTGGATGAGGGAATGCTTGTCCACCTAAGATGCAAGTTACACTCAGAGAGTTCGACAGGCCGCTTACCTATCTTCTTTGTGCTGGGGCAAGTCCTAAGACCCCAGCAGTGCATAGCGTAAGCCCCTTGAACAAGTCTGACCTTAAAAGAACACTTTACTTTTACCCAGTATTTTGCAAGTACAGACACATGGGCTTTGTGATTCCTTAGAACTAATAACAGCTCAGTTAGGTAGGACGCTTAAAGCTAGTTTGTAGCCCTCTCCACTGTGACAACCCCAGACCTACTGGAGGATGCCACAGTTTCACTAAGCTGCCACCAACCATTCCCTATAAGAAGTCACACAGACCAGGGATGGATTTTCAACAAATAAAAGAATAAGGTTTATTAAATAACACACAGGGAAAAATAAAATGATTAGGTGAATAAGATACAGTAACGTGGCTTAGTCTCAATCATACATGCACACAGTTTGGTTCACACAGAACACTTAACTTGAAGCACAGACCCTGAACCTATCAGTTCTGGCTAACCATACAGACACCTGAACCTATCAGGTTGGTACTGACTGACACACAGTAGTACCCTGTCTGACACACAGACTCCCACTCAAGCTTCTTCTCTCAGCTCTTCTCCAGCTTCTCCTAAACTCTCCACACACGCTCCACATATATATACAGTACAGCCCCTCCTCCTGATGTCCCGCCTTCCACTCCCCATAGGATGGAACTTTCCCTCCAAACCCATGACAGACAGGTAACATCAGTGCTGTATGTAACAACTACTATAACTTAAGTATGTCTCAAAACGAAATACAAGAAAAAATCGACATGAATTTAGAAGCACTGTAGCCAAACAGGAAGTAAATTCTAGATAATTTTTCAGATTTGCAATTCTGGAACCCTCAATTGAAAATACACTCAAACATACAGTCTGCCTAATTTCCTAGTGTAAATTCACCCGACATGTAAGACATTTAGCATTATGCTTCTTTATGGCTATTTTTCCAAGGAATTGTTTTCCTATGGAATAAGTTAGACGGGATGATCTAGTACCGCTTCATGCTCCACAGCTGGATCCACTATACATTACACTGTTTTATAGACTACTTGGCTCTCTGAAAATGCACCAATGTTATTTCAAACAAATATGCAAAACATAAAGGAAAAATGAATCTCTCACCTGCTTCCCCAGGATCATCCTCATTCAGCAGAACGGCACTCTTTGTGACATCTTCTGTTGCACTGTAATCTAAGTTTGTGAACATGACTGAACGTGGAGGGGTGAGTGCAGTTGTCCAGTCACTTTCATCTAACTTAAGCAATATGAGAAAATGAATAAAAACTTGTACTGCAAAGGAACAGTATTGCACATACGCAGAGAAACAAACACATCCCAATTAACTTCATTCAGATATAGCAATCCCAACTTCTGCATATTCTCTCTTGCTAGTATAGCACAAACAATCATTCTATGCACACTTTGGGTATTCAACAACAATGACAGGGGGCAGGGAGAGAAAGCGTTCCTCCCATGCCTAAAGATGGCACATTTATTAACCATTTGCCACATTTACATGGGTGCCCATTCAATATATGGTCTCTTGCTGGCTCACTGCAATGTAGGATAAAGGCACTATATAAAATTTAGGCTAAAAAAATTATATACCAAACTTTTTAGAAGCATGAAACCTTTAGAAGGTTTTTAAAAAACCCACATTGCTAATTAACTTTGAGGGCCTACAACTGTCCAGACATGTGATGACATACAAAATGAAAGCAAATCTATAAAGAGAGGAAGAAGCCATCTTTAGCAGCAGTAGAGAGAAATAGTATCCCCAGTGTCCATTCATCTGATGACTGAAACCTTAACTTAAAGGCCTGACAAATTTTAATCACCCTCAAGGTGAAAGCAGGGGAGACAGTATCAGTCTCTGTCACAGTGGTTGTAGTGTTTCTAGTAACAGCTACAGCAAGTCAACGATGTCACAATCACACAACAGGGGAATATTTTCAGACTTGCCAACATATTTTTATGAGCACTATACCAGTCATCATAGTTTTTACTTCTTAGGCTATTAATCAAATAACATATTTATAAACACTGTAAATATTTATTCTGTTATCATAAAGCAGGAAAACATTAAGATCAAGACAGTTGTTGCATTTTTGTTTCAGAAGAAGAAATATTAACTAACTTTAGTTATATTTTACAACACCCTTTCTAACAGAAAAATCAAGAGGTTAATGGGGATGACTGCATAGCAAAAATATGGTTAGCAAGGAACAAGGAGATATCAGCATGCTTGGAAACACTGTTACATTAACTGTCTTTTTATTAAAGACATCTAAGTTTGGGGAACTCAAAATAGTCCAGTAAGAACCAACGATGCTCAGGAGCCATAATACTGTGCATCATTTGGAAAATGAAAATTAGGAATGAGGAGTGGAATTTCTAGTTTGAGAGAATGATTTGGAGAAACCGCAACTTGTTAAGATAAAATATATATTGCAATACTTTTCTACAGGTTCTTTCTATGCAAAATTTTTATCTTTTCGAATTGACCAGTTATATCTTCATATGTGTCCCCACAGACTAAAGGTGACTTTTGGAAAGGAAAAAAATTAGAAAAATAACCCTAAAACTACACTGCTGGATACAAATTTGGACCACTAAATACAGTGGGTCTTACTTCTGAATGAGCATGCATAGGTTGTGCTACCTACTGAAGAGTACGCTGCTCATTCTTACTTGATTTATTCTTACCATAGACACATTTCCAAGGTGCCCAGGAGTATGCACAAAGTACGGAGATTTTCCTCCTGTGCCCAGGATGGCAGACGTGTTTGGCTGTTTTGTGGAACTCAGAGTCTGTGGGGTATCTTTAAAACAAAAACAAAATATTTTTCTCAGCCATGAGCCATGATGCACTTGTTAGTCCCTATTTCAGACGAATGCATTTATTGAGTACATCATGGAAAGAACGGTAACTATTTTCATGAGTTCAAAATACTACTTTTAACAGATGTTATCTTATTTATATTCTGACTGAACTGGGCAGGAAAAAAATGCTGGAAGTAACATTCTTTTTACTAGTAAAATTTCAGTGATAAAACAAACATGTAAACTGCATACACAAAGCAATAAATACAAGGAAGCTTACAAGAGTGAGGAAATAGTCCTGGAGTTCTAGGAACCGTTAGTCCTCTTGTTGACATGTCACTTAAGCTGTCATCGAGGGAAGCAAGGACTAAGAAAAGGAAAGCAAGTGAAGGAAATAACTTACAAAGTTCTGGCTCAGTTTGCAAAGGCTTCTAGCCACCTAAATGGAAAAGTCTAACAAAAAGGCAAATATGGTGCCACCTCTTTTTTGTTCTTCTCTTTGACTTTTAACACAAATAGCTAAAGGAAATGATAAATGATAAATCATGTTAGCTTTTAAAAATTTTTAGTAGATTATAAATTAGCAGCCTTACCTACTGATACTGGACCAATTGTCTTTTTTTAAACTGACAGCAGTTTACTGCTAACATTTACAGTGTTGGAGTTACACTGGCAAGTATACACATATGACAGGCTTTCATCTACTATTTTTTAAAGCACAAAGCTGTTACCTTAAAAACCACTCAAATATGCTTCTACATAAGGCACTCAATCAATACAGAAAAGGATACTAGAAACTTTCTTCTGAGAACTCTGCTTCCGAACTGGTCGACTCACTTCTTGTATAGAAGACATATTCTAAAAATCATTCCTGAAAAGAAAGAGAACTAATGTGGCATTCACCCTTATTATGTTAAACAGTCATGCATTATTCATGTTGTAGGCTAATGTTTTTGAGAGGTGGAGACGAGATAGAGAGAGAGGGAGGGGGGGTTAAAAAGGCAGAACCTGAGAGTGAACAGTCAGTCAGAGTGAGAGAGAGTGTGGAGTCAGGAGAGAGAGTGAGAGAGAGATATTTGGGAGATCTGAGGTGTCATTAGTCAGAAGAGTGAATAGTAACTGTAAGATCAAATAGAAGATTGTTACTGATGATTAAGAAACCTGAAGAAACTTATGAATGACCATCAAAACATCTGTAATCAATAAACCTGTTTTATTTAAAAGACAGTCCTGCACTGTTTGTAACAATTATTAGTATGCAAGGCAAAAGGCAGCACAATGTATAGACGGGATGATCTAGTACCGCTTAAGTTAAGCGGTGCTTAAGTTGTACAAACAAGTTCATGTGCAGGCAAGATTGCACACAGGCACACACACACAGTCAAAGGTGCTTCAAAGGGTGTTTGTAACAGTGGCTACCAAATGCCTCTGTGAAATTCTAAGCACAGAACAATGGTAAAAGACAATTCCCAGTTTATCTTAAACATCTAATACAGTACTCACATGTGTACTGTAGTCTATAATGCAAGGTCTGACCAAATAATATCAATCAGATTCCTTGAAAAACCTGTCAACCCTAATTCAACTATAGATGTCAAAGAAGATGAAATTGAAAGCTTTTATGCAAATATCTAGGAGAAAATTGATCACACACCAAAATGAAACATGCTTATAATCATAGGTAACTGGAATGCAAAACAAAGCAGACATTTCCAAGTGATGTTGGAAAATTTGGTCTAGGGAAAAAACATGAAGCAGGAGAATAATTCATGGACCTGCAAAGTCAATCATCTGTTCACTGCAAAAACATGCTTCAATCAACTGAACAGACTGCTGTACACGTGGATATCACCAGATGATCAATACAGAAATCAAACAGACTACATAACTGGAAGCAGGAGATAAAGAAGCTATATTCTCTCTGACAAAACAAGCCCAGGAGCCAAATGTAGTATTATTGATCATTAATTGCTAACATCCAACATAAAAGTAAAGTTGAAAAACAACACTAAAAGAATTGTAGTACCAAAATATAATTTAAGCAACATTTCTGATGAATTTAGACTCTACAGAAAAAACAGATTTGCATGGCTAAACTCAGTTGACTGTGAAACAGAAGGCCTATGGAGTGAAAACCATGATATCATTATGAGCACAAAAAGGCAATACCTATACTAAAAAGAAAAGAAAAACCTAGACGGATAACAGAAGAAATAATTTAAATTGTAAGAAAGGGAAGAAGCAAACTAAAAGGTGACAGAAATAGGGTCAAACCCTGAATGCAGCTTTTGAGAGACTGTCACATATAGACAAAGAAAATTATTACAATAACCAATACAAAGAAATCAAGAACAAAGGGGGAAAATCAAGAGATTTCTTCCAGAAGACCCAAAAAATCAAATGGAAATGTAATTTCCATTCATTCAATCTTGAATGCTAAAAGACTAAAAGGGAAGCAAACTATTTTACCAGAAGAAAATAAAAGAGAAGGTAGAAACAGTATACTGAAGATCTTTACATAAGAGATTAGATGATGACAGATTACTTTGAAGATGAATCTTATGATGAAGCACCTGTGCTTCTAGAAAGTGAAACGAAAGCTGCTCTGAAAGCACTGGGGAAAAATAAATCACTAGGGGTACATGAAATACCAATGGAACTGTTTAAAGCCATGGAGACTGAATCTGTCAAAATTCTAACAAGAATATGCCAGCAAATATGGAAAACAAAACAATGTCCCATAGACTGGAAACAATATACATTCCAATAACCAACAAAGGAGATGCCAAGGAGTGCAGTAACTATAGGATCATTACTGCAATTTCCCATGCAAGCAAAGTAATGCTCAAGGTATTGCAATGAAGGCCTTTACCTTACATGCAGTGAGACATGTTTGATGTTCAAGCTGGATTCCGAAAAGGAAGAGGCACTCAAGATCATGCAGTAGTACCTCAGTTTACGTATGCCTCGGTTTACATAATTTTCGGTTTATGAGCCAAAATCCATAAGAAATAATGCCTCAGTTTATGTTTTTTACAGGGGTTTTTTCGCTGTATGAAAAGGGCGCATCATGTCTGGAGGTTTCTAGTGCCACCCCCATTGCTACGGCAATCGCGTTCGTGTTTACATAATTTCCACATTACTTAACATCCCAGATGATGGATTAATCTTGTAAATTTTGCAATACTACTGTACTGCAAATTTCTGCTGATTATTGGAACAGATCAAACGACTTCAGAAGAAGAAGAGTCTATCTATACTTAATAGATTACAGCAAAGTCTTTGGACTGTGTGGATCATGACTATAGGTTGTTCTGAAAGAAATGGATGTGCCTCAATACTTGATTGTCCTGATGTGTGTTACACATCAATACATTGTACTGTGGACAAGAAACTATATTAGGACAGAGTATGGAGAGACAGAATGGTTTCTCCTATAGGCAAAGGTGTCAGACAAGGGTGCATTTTATCCCCTTATCTGTTCAATCTGTATGTAGAACATAGAATACAGAAAGCCAGGCTAGATTCAGATGAAGGAGGAGTTGGTGGAAGAAACATCAATAATTTAAGATATCCAGATGACACCATTTCACTGGCCAAAAGCAACAATGACTTGAAATGACTTCTGAGGTAAGTGAAAGAAGAAAGTGCCAAAGCAGGACTGGAAGGAATATCAAGAAGATAAAAATCATTACTACCAAAAACTTATGCAACACAACTTTAATGTCAACAATGAAGAAACTGAAATTATTTCTGAAATATTTTGTATACCTTGGTTCAATCAGCAATCCAAATCGCAACTGCAGCCAAGAAATCAGAATACGGAGACTTAGAAAGGCAGAAATGAGGGAATTAGAAAATATCAAGTGCGAGGATGTGTCACCCAAAGGTCACCCTTGGACTACCAAAACAACCCTCCAGACATCAAGATGACAAAACTGGTTGGATGCAGGAGAATAAACTTCCAATAAACTTTGAGGGATACAGGAGAATTAAATCCAGCATCTTTTGGACCTAAACCACAGAGGTTTCGTGAGACTGGTCTCACTCCCCCTAACCCTTTTACGCCTTTGGTGCCACACAACAGCCACTAAAAGAGAACAAGTAAATAAATGACAATGAAACGAGACACTGTTGCCTCTGTCACTCATACTACATTCAGTGCGGTTTTATGAAGTGAGAAGAAAATACCAGGCAGCCGATTTCCTCCAGAGGGAGACATTCATTTTAGTTCATTAAAAAAAACAAACTAACAATAACTGTAGTAAACGTTCAGGGAGAGGGAAGCGCCCTTGGGAGATACCTGGCCTGACCCGCGAAATGACGCGACTGACTTCAGAGACTTTGCTCGTCGATCTGGGGATGAGGTGCCCCGTTGCCACTCTGCCTCAGGCCGAAAAATGCACTACGAAGAACTAGAGAGACTGTGCTAAAAGCCTTTAAAGTAACGCGCCCAGTAACGTGAGGAACGGGTGAAACTACTGCCCCTGTATCTCCCGCCCGCCGTCGTAGGCAAATTCTGTGGCACCGAGTTCCCCGGCCTGTCCACGGCCATGAGGTGGCACGACCCACTTCCCTCCTGGTCTATCGGAACGGAGGCCTTTTCCAGCCTCGCCCCTCCCGCAACCTTTCGGGGGCGCCCACCTGTCCGTCAGCGGCGCGGCTGGAAAATCCGATCCACGCCCCGTCTGTTGGTTGAGAATTCCCGCTTTCCGGAAACTCGCAACATGAACCGGATGTACAACTAAAAAGCCGGGGATGAAAGGTCAGAGATTGTTGATAGTGCCAATAATAGGGACAGCGGACTGAACACCACGTGGACTTTTTTTAAAAAGACATTTGCAGAAGGAAGAGCACACAGGATGAATTTGTATCGGAAACTTCGCCTCATAATATTTCTACACGCCTGTCATGCGCAGAAAGGTAACTTTGCGAAACGGCAGATGTGGTGGCTCCCAAGTGGCGGCAGCGCCACCTATCTTGCAGGAGGACCAAACTTCAGTTTCTGGGCTGCTTGTCTAACGGGGGAAAGACAAGTTTCCCACCGCCAAAACAGGAGGCGAGGAAGGTAGTACAACTGACGCCTTTGTTTTATCGTGGATCAGGAGGATCCCAACAAAACTCGCGAAACGGGGAAGTCTGATTTTGAAATGTAGATTGTACACATAAAAGATTCTGCCTTCAAAGGCTGAAATATATCAAAGGAAAGGTGGACTTTTGTGGTAGCAGACCGGGCTCTTTTGTGCACTACTACTACTACTACTACTACTACTGCTGCTGCTGCTGCTACTACTACTGCTGCTGCTGCTGCTGCTGCTGCTACTACTACTACTACTACTACTACTAGTAATAATAATAATAATAATAACAACAACAACAACAACAACAACCACCTTTATTGTCAATGCACATGTGTGCAGTGAAATAGAATGAGCCTCCATTGGTACAACCACACAAAACACAGAATACATTCAGACACAGAATACATCTCCAACTTTATAAACAAATCCCCAAGCCCAGGAATACCGCAGCTAGGTACATGTTTCCACATACATATACAGTATATATATGTATATGTATGTGGAAACGTGTACAGTCATTTCAGTCATGGCACCGACATATATATGTACACATTATTCCACCGGTATGTACATATTGCATGTTATAAATCTAGTCATGGTGTTATGTGGCATTTGGAAGGCTGACGGCCCATGGATAGAAGCTATTTTTTAGCCTATTTGGCTGGCTGGCTATGCTTCTGTATCTCTTGCCCAATGGTACAAGTATGAAGAAGTGCTGTCCTGCGTGAGAGTCCTCCATAAGGATTTTACTCATTCTGTTGAGACAGCGAGACTTGGCGATTTACTCCAGTGGGTTTATGGGGTAACCCATGATTTTTTGTGCTGTACTCATCATCCTCTGTAGTGCCTTGTCTGCGGTTGTTAAGCCAGCGTACAATACCATGACACAGTATGCAAGGATACTTTCTATTGTTGACCGGTAGAGAGATGTTCATCTGACACTGTGCCACCTGGCGTAACATGTTCCATCCAGAGTTGTGCCCGGTATCTATAAGTAAGTCTTTAAAGTGAGTCTTGTGGCGCAGTGGTTAAAACGCTGTACTGCAGCTAAAACTGTGCTCACGACCTGGGGTTCAAATCCCAGGTAGCCGGCTCAAGGTTGACTCAGCCTTCCATCCTTTCGAGGTCGGTAAAATGAGTACCCAGCTTGCTGGGGGGGCAATGTGTAGCCTGTATAATTAAATTGTAAACCGCCCGGAGAGTGCTTGTAGCGCTATGGGGTGGTATGTAAGTCCAATAAATAAATAAATAAATAAATAAAGTGCTACACATTTTCATCTTTATTTAGTTTCTGATCGGATGTGCTAGGACAGACTAACACAGCCATCTCTTCTAAAACTAAAAGCACTGGATTTAGCCGAATAGTGGAGATCATCAACCTCATGAATAAACTTGCACCGATCTCTTTATTTTTGACCATATAAAAATGTATATGTGCCATGCAGTCTCACTGTAATGCCTGACGAAGTGGGCTTGATCCATGAAGGCTCACAGTTATAATTGCTGGATAGCTCAGTGGTTTTAAGTATCCAGCTGCAAAGCCAGAGGTTGTAAGTTTGATTCCCACTGTGCCTCCTTGATGCTTTTGAATTGTGGTGCTGGAGGAGGCTCTTGAGAGTCCCCTGGACTGCAAGGAGAACAAACCTATCCATTCTAAAGGAAATGAACCCTGAGGGCTCACTGGAAGGACAGATCCTGAAGCTAAGGCTCCAATACTTTGGCCATCTCATGAGAAGACTCCCTGGAAAAGGCGATGTTAGGAAAGGCGATGTGAAGGCAAGAGACGGGGACGACAGAGGATGAGATGGTTGGACAGTGATGGCCCCAACTCTGGGATGCAGTGGAAGACAGGAGGGCCTGGCATGCTCTGGTCCATGAGGTCATGAAGAGTTGGACACGACTTAACGACTAAACAACAGTGCCTCCTTGACAGGGGATGGACTTGATAATCCATAAGATCCCTTACAGCTCTGTGGTTCTAAGGTTGTTATTATAGTCTTTAAGGTGCAACAAGCTTTTCTTATTTTATTTTTATTTTGTAATCCAAAAAGTGCTGGAGATACAATTGCAGATCCTGGATACAAGTGACGTAACAGAGGGTTACAATTTCATTTGAACCTCTTATAAGATTTTTCTTCTGCTTCTGCCCCATTTCCTGACTTCACAGGTGCTTTTACATTTCTGAGCCAAACCTTAATTTAGAACAAGGATACTCTGGGCACTGCCATTCCCCATTTTACAGTCATTTCAGTCATGGCACCAACATAAAATAATTACTGGAGTAAAATCTGCTTCTGTTCCCAAGGTGTTAAAAACATTTACTAATAAACTATTTTGTTGCAAGAATGAATAATATAATTTCAAAGGAAAAATGTTACCAATAATTATGTACATCCTTGGCCAGCTGTAATTGATAATTAAAAAAAAAACATGCTACGGTGAGCAGTATTGGTTCAGCCAGCCTACCTGCCAATATCCCCATCAGCTATCTCTGTTTGACTGGGCATTTGTGGACATAGAACTTCAATCCAAACTGCATCATGATATCTGACAACCATTCTCATAAGTCTTGAATTAGTGGAAAGCGCTTCCAAACTTAGGAGAGGCTCAGCTTCAGATGCCTTGGCAGTGGCTTTCAGAAGGCTTAGCCTTGTATTATTAAAGGTAAATAAATGATTATTTCAATTGTTGACATTTTCACTTGACCAGATGTGTTGGAAGAACCTGCTTTTCTCTGCAGCTATTACATATATGGAAGCAGTCCTCTCCTGTGCCAACCTTAACGAAGCCCTACCCACTTTGTCTTTGTATGAACAAGAACAGTATTCAAGATGACTTTATTAGAATTTGAATGGTTACAGGTTTAAGGCTTAGGCTTCCGAAGTCCTGACCTGTTCAGAAGATGGCTGAGAAGGGCTAGTTCTTTTACAGAGAAATAATGGCGGCTAGTGACTCTCATAGCAAGATAATCTCCCCCCCACCTGTTTGTTGCAGTGTGCTTTAAGATAAGCTACTTCTGAAGAAAGTCCAGAAAGCTTCAGCTTGATTACATTGCACATACTAAAAAATCTTAATACATAACTCCAATTTCTTGCAGGCTACTGGTATACCTGCAGGTTTAATTCAGAATGCGTCTTCTCATTACATACTGTCACTTCTAGCTTCTCGCCCCCAGATGAATTTATGAGCTTTGAAATATCCTGACATTAACAACCCAGCTGAAGCATTGCAAATTAAAAAGTCATGGATTCCTTTATTGAGTCAATCCTTCTTCCTCTCATCTTACTGCCTTCAACTTTTCTTATTGGCTTCTCCAGTGGAGTTGCCTTTTCTCATGATATGTCCAAAGTATATTTAAAATTCTCAACATCTTTGATGCAGATTTGAAAGGCTGTTTTCAAATGTACTGATCCTTATCGTAAGTCCTTCCTGACCGCCAGTCTTCAAGAGTAGCAAAGCTGGCTTGAACTAGAAACATGTGATCCAAGCTGACCTACTTCCTAATTTATATAGACTTTCCTCCTTTCAACTCTGCCTTGTAAGCAAGTCTGTAAGACCTTCCCCCTTCAAGTCTGCTTTGTAAATAACTTATTCCCAAAATGATCAGGTAGTTTTTCACTTATTCTCCAGAAGACGTCAAAGAGGCCACAGTCCTAAAAAAATCTACAGAGGTTGGAAAATTTACCCAAGCTGCAGAACTCTATAATTTCAACAAAAGTGAAGTATCAGGAAATGGTCACTTAATAGCAGAAGGTCCAGTCTTAAGACACTTCCCTAATGAGGAAGACTTGAAAATGGTTCTATGTAGTTCCGTAACTTTGAAAATTTAGCCTCCAAACCAGGGGTAAGAATGTTGTTGGATGGCATGCCCTATTAATTCCTCACTATTAGCTATTCTAGCTAAATCTGTTGTAGTTGAACACCTAAAAACTGACAGGTTACCTAGTCCATAATCCAAGAGTAAACAAATGAGGGAGAGAAGAGGGTCATGGCTTTTTTTTCTGTTTGTAATTCTCAAAAACTCAATGAAACAACATATATAAAAAAAGATACAGGTAGATTTTTAATGGAAGAAGTGTTACATAACTTTCCTATTTAATATGCACATTTAACAACCTCAGGATTTTTTTCCTATTAAGATACAAGGTAAGCATTCCTGTTTTATACATCTTAAGATAGGTGTTTATGTCCACTTATCTTAGAAATACTTCATATATGTTCTCACTTTGTATTGTTGTGCAAATTGAATACATTGCTTAGAAAGAAATATAAGACACAAATAATATAATTCCATCAGAAGGTAATGCATATGGAAGTGTGATCAGAAGTGCAATATTTACACTGCTACCTGGCATTATACTTGTATTATATAGAAAGACAATTAACATTTTCTTAAGACTTGGGCTATTTCCAAAGAAAAGGGGAATGGGCGAAGTCGTTGGGCCAAGACAAATGGATGGTAATGGGCCTTTGATATCTGAATGTACTACACTTTTCCTCTGACCCCCTTCCACTCTTACCTATCTAATCCACACACTGCAGGGAGCAACCACATGCTTCAGAATTAAAAAAAAAAATCTAGCAAGAGTTCTGTTTCCTTAAATAATGCAGGACCACAACCAGGAAAGGTGCTTTCATTCACCATAAGATGTTCTGAATAGTCCTGCATAGTGGAGTGAAAGGCAGAAAAAATGAGTACAACCTCCTCCAAAAGAAAAGTAGTCCCAACAGCTGGTTACTGGTATGATACTGATGTCCAAATGGCCAGAGAAAATCAGTGCGATCTCCAGAATACAAATATAGTGCTAGATGGTGAACCCATCATGCTTTAGTTGAATGCCTTTGAACATTTCAAGGGCAGCCCTATGTACAATACATTGCATTAAGCCAGTCGTGATACTATGAAGATGTGAATGACATTGCCAAGTCTATGTTAGACAAAAATATTTTTCTCACTAGAGGGCCACCATTTGTCTGTCCAGGCTACCGGTAAGTTCAGGAACATACATTATACTAGTCCAAGAAAAGAGTGCCACACATCACCAGTGAAACTTGTAACTTTTTCTTAAATTAATGATTCTATTTTCATTTCTGGGATCCTGAGATCAGTTTTCAAAGCAAGACAAGGTCAAGAAACATTGCCCAGAGAAGATAGTATAATTTGCTGGCTATGCTATGAAACACGCAGTTTAATCTTAAAATGGTGAGCTGAAAACTGGATAATATATCAGGTAATATACATTCATTTGCCTTCTTGAGCCAAGATTAGGAGAAAAATCTGCACACTGTGGCAGTATTCTGAAACAGAAGTATCCTACAAATAGCAGTTCCAGATTCCTGTGATTGATCTTCAGTAAACAACAGAAGTTTGGCATACTCCAGGAGCATTCTACGAGAAATTGTACTTAGAATAATTGATACAACCCATTTTAGTTTTCCCCTCTCTGATGTTTCCTAATGAAAAGGCAGAATTTGAAAAATGCACATTTTTAGAACAGATGCTCACTAATGAAGGATGCCCCAACTCCAGAAAATTTCTACTGAAATGAAGAAATTATTGATTTAGAGCACAGTCATGATGGCAGAACTGGACTGAATACATGCTGGATGAATAATGTTTTCTTGAGGTCTTAAATTCTGCTTGTCCAAGAAATGTTAACACCTTATTACTGGTATTATTGAAGCATACACAAAACATTCAGTTACAGGTAGTTGTAATGCAAGCCCTTGCATGGCAATCCAAATTTATTGAACTACTGATGCTAAGTCATACAAAATTGCACCACTTTTAATTAAGGCTTTTCGTTTACATTTGGCCACCTCAAAGCAGTTGTAACATTAGGTTGGTCAATTTAAATACTGTGGCTCCCTGTTGGATTTTACACGCAATCTTTACACCCAAACGTTAATGCATACAAAGCAACAAGGCATTGTTAAATAAATCAGCAAAAATCGGTAATTACTGCAACTTAGGCCCTGGGACCAATTACACATGATTAAAATTACTTCCCACATTCACATCCACAGTACTCGTCCACCATTTAACATCTCAACCAAAACGTTACACATGTAAAACAATCACTAACAGGCAAAAGTACTAAACCTGTATATTTGGTATTGCAAATACACTTATGCATGAGCAAGCAAGGGAATTCACAGTGAGAATCTACAGCTGCAGAAGCCCAAAAATGATTTACAAAAAATTGTTAAATCATTAAAAAATTGTTTTAAAATATACACTTCTTGTTGTAGACCCCCACTGTACACACAACTATAAACATTGTTCCCTATGTAAACAAGGAAAAGGAAACATACAATAAAAGGTTGAAAAATCTGGACATTTCCTTCGCAACAGATATTAAAGGCAATGTCTTTAGACAGACATTATACTGAAAGGACTCATTTTAAAGACTAGATCACTGTCTCCACAGGTTTTTTAAATCCTAAAATTAAAAAACTAGATAGCTGTTGTGTTAATCAAAGCGCTTTTGTACAATACAATGATGATCCTGTATTTCTCTTAAAAAAGTTACAATAAGCTACAAATACCGATGAAGCAAAGTTATCTGGAGTAGTTTATATAGGAGCTCTTTGGACTTTCTTTTATTACGCTAAAATAGTGGTGCTTTTAGGATTTACATTATTGTACTCTCCAATAGGAAGTATGGGGTTTGTTGCAGTATACAGTACAGTTTTCATACATGTACAACATTTGTGGATGAACAATGTCTCTTATGAGTAATACTGGATGTAGGCTCTGGTTTTACCAGTTGCATACACTTAGATTATTTATAAGTCAAAATCTCTCATGACACTGGAAAGTGATTAGAATGTGCAAACTGATGTAGTAGTTGTCATCCATTTCATAAGGGTACCACCACAGGAAAGTCCATTTAAGATGTTGGTAGGTTGAATAAAGTTGGAATGCTGGCACTGTTGTAATCAGCAACAGTTCTTCAGACCTAGAGAATTGAAAAAATATATATGGAGTTTTAGCACTTATCCAATAATTAAGCAATGAAGCAGCATAGTTGTGTTTAGGTAAAAAGGTATTTCATATTGTAGGCTACAGTAGGATTCTTAACCTCATACTCTTTTTGTGTAAGTTACTGCTATACACTGGTCTTCAAATATATAAGGTTCAGAGTAGAACCAAAGGAAATCTAAAATAGCAAGAGCTCACTACAGCACATAGGCTTTGTGGATTCAAATACTGTACTGTATTCCGACAATCTATGCATTGTCATTTTACTTCTATTTTGTCAGCATAATCTTTTTTCAAACATACATTAAAATAAAAAAGAATTAACTCTACTTACAGAGGCAATTTAGAGAGAAGCAGTAAATGTAATTCAATATTGGAGTGGCCAGATTCCTATTACTTATGTACACTGATATTAAGTCAAATGACATAAATCACATCAACCACTGCACAGCAAGGAATACAAACCCGGATTCTTTTAAGGAGCAGCAATTTGCCACTGTGATCTACACTTTTTGACATACGCCAGTAGACATAAGTAAACAGAGTAAATCACAGCAACAAACTGTCACTAGTTAAGGAGGTGAAATTTGTATTCCTTGCTGTGCACCAGTCACTGTGTTTTATGCTGTCTGACATATGCTGACTTAAATAAGTAATAGAATTCTGGCCAATATGTTTTACAAGAACTTCACTGATCTTTCTATCTTGCTATGCCCTCGCATAACAATCAGCTCTTCCATTTATGCTCGAGAAAATGGAGTGAGCCCTGCTTCTTCTATGGTTTACGAATCCCACAGTACCTGCTTCTGTGCTTACACTGATGACCAGTGAACCAATAAAACACCATAACAAACAATTCATGCTCTCCATGTTTTATAATGATAATGAAAAATTGCTATATAAAGATATGATCTCCCTCCTGCTGATTGCTGCATGCCTTGGAATTGCTAGACACTGGAAAACAGAGTTTCAGTGTGCGTAGCTGGCTTGACAGGTTTTAGTCCATTACACTATCAATGAATCTGACTTTAAACAATGAGGGCAGCAAAAGAAGATTGTAAAATGGATATGGGCACTGCTGTCTGATGGTTATTTACTTCATTTGCAAATATCCATGGCCACCTGCATATCATGAAATTCTGGAGGAATCAAAGTTTTACCCTTAAAAAGATGCCGAAAAGAAACAATTTAGGGAGAAGTATTAAATATGTAGGAACAAAGGATTGAATGGAGTGGAGCAAAGTTATCTGGAGTGGATTGAATGGAGTGGAACCTGGAGGGAATAACTGAAAAGTGGGATGAGGAAGATGTGCTCAAAAATACTGGCATCAACAACAATATGGACAGTGACAAAAGAATTATTTATTTATGTATTTATTTATTAGATTTCTACCCCTCCCACTCTTTTATTTGAAACAGGGGTCTCAAACTCAATTTACCTGGGGGCCATGACATACTCGTGTGGATTTGAATTTTGATATGGCAAGGAGAGAAATCCCTGTTGACCGAAAGGCTGGGGACTTGTTAGAAATTTTAGGGCAAAAGATGGTATTCTACTATGCTTCACTCTATGTACTTTTAGAAACCAACTGCTCCAGCAATAAAAAACTGTAAAGTTTACAGTAAAACATAAATATTTAAATAAACCCATTACTTTTGAACTAAAGGATGTTTTAAAAACATTTTAAATAAAATATAAACATATTAAGCTGAGTATAGATTTAGGTCAATGCAACAAAGGAAGGTGAACAAGACTCCCCTCCCCCACTTCCCATAGTAACTCCTCCACATCCATTCCCATAAAGTACAAAAAAGAGTAGGGGACCTTACTGGAAGTTGGGAGGTTTGGTGTAGGAAATAGAGGCACCTTCTGTGAGTAAAACAACAATCTCCTACTATTTCCTACCAACTAAAAAAGACAAGCAAATTTTTGTACTCAAAATTCTTCTGAATTCAAGGTACATTGCCTAGAAAAGTGCAAGAAAGAACCAAGTCCAATAATTGATTAAATCCAACTTGCTTCATCACAACAGATTTTACTTTACATATAAAATCTAAAAGGGCAAGGGTTCCACAATATATTACACATTTTATGCCAACATAAAGAATGAGTACTCCCCAGATGTTAAGACTACAAACTCTCTCATCATTCCTCCTCATTGGCTATCTGGAGTTTATGGAGCTGGAGATGAATATCTGATGTACTAAAGGTTCCCTGTTCCATTCTATTGTTATAATTCTGTAGCATAAAAAGTAATGAACATGCTGAAGCATTCTTTCTAGGAGTATAATGCCCACTGAACCAAACACTCTTGGAAACTCAGCCATTACTGGCATGTACCTGGAGACAAGAACGTGATCCTGAACAGTCTAAAACCAATTCTGAAACAATCAAAAAGATCAGGATATTTCAAGGTATGACCAGGTATAAAATATGTGCATCCCACTAGCCTTACAAGCACTGGATTTTATGTGGCAGATTCATGCATAATAATGATATCAAGATTATTAGTAATACACTGTACACTTAATTGTGAAATGACTCTCCACCATGAGCAGCTCATCTATTTGAATACAAAATGCACAAGCCATCTTGTTGGTGGCAAGAAATGTCATTGCCTTTTCAAAGCTTCTTAAGATTAGCCTTGCTACTGTTTTTATGACTTAACATTAGTTTTCATAGTCAAATGTCAAAATAGTCCTTGTTCCATACGCACACTGCAATTTACTTACATTGTGCTTGTAATTATATGCAACATTTTGGCTGAAGTTTAGCCACTTAATTTGTGGGTAATGGATTTCAAGCTTCTACTAATATACTTGTGAGAAGGTGCAGGCACACATCCCTAGTAAACCATTTGGCCCTAGCCCACAGGTAGCAGGCAGCCAGGAGGAGGGGGAGTTGCCTCAGAATCAGGCTGGCTGGAGGGAAGTCCCCGCAGCTGCAGGAGAGACAGTGTCCTGATGAGAAATAGCTGGATCAAGGGGAATAAAAGAGCAGAACTGGAAGGCAAGGGGTCACTACCTATCTTGGAAAAAGAGGATGTGTTGGAGGATGCCAGAAGCTGTCTACCAGCATCAGGTTTAGTGGCTTGTGACAGGAGCCAGGCAACATGGACACTTGCCACACGTTTGGACAAGGCTATGTTAGCCTGGACGCGGCCACAGTTCTGGAGAGGCAAGTGACAGAAGGGACGGGGAGATGAGCAGCAGAAACTAAGCCCTTGTACTAATTTATACAAGCTTTCTCTAAAAGAGGTGTGTCCTGGACCAAAGCACTCCCTTTCTGCCTTCCAGAACCTGGATCCTGGTGGAATTCCAGTAAGACTCACTGGGCCCCCAAGTTAACAAGAAGTTTAGTTTAGTAACTCTGTGAGAACTGTGGGGGAAAAAGGCAGAGAGAACTGCTGCATTTTCTTGATTTCAGCCAATTACGACTATCGAACAAGTTGCTGCAGCTGGATTACTGACTGGAAATGGTTAGATGGAGCATATAACTAATACAACAACTTTGCTGGCAACCTGTTTCTAGGCTCAATCAAAGTGCTGATTATTACCTATAAAACCTTATACAGTTTGAGTCCAGGTTATCTGAAGGATTGTTAAATTCTATATGAGCCACTTCAGCTTTAAAGATCTTCTGGGAGGCTATTCTCTCAGTCCCACCATCCTCATAGGCTCTGAGAGAGAGACCTCTTAATGACTGTTCTCAGGCTTTGGAATGCACTGCTCTGAGAAGCCATGTTAACCCCTCCCTCTTGCCCTTCCATCATCAAACAAAGGCCTTTTTCACACAAGCATTTATGCAACATGTGGTTTTGGTGGGGTTTTTTTTTTGAGTGCTACAATTATTGGATTTACAGATTTTTATTATGATTCTAAGATGTTCTTAGAAGTATTTTAATATCATTTTAATACTGCTTAATTGGTATTTTTAGCACTGTGTCTGATGGATTTTTTTAAAATGGTGATTATTAGATAGTTTTGATTGACGGTGAGCTATCTTAAGTCTGCTATGGGGAGAAAGGCAGAATATGAATTAAAATAAATAATAAGTAACATGCATTGATCCCAGCTACTGCAAATGAAGTTCCTCCCTCAAAACAAGATTTTCCCACTTCCCTCTTCCTTCAGTAGCCCCATGGACTGAAGGGGCTGATTACAGTTGAAATAATAACTGTCAAAAAACAAGGGCCCCTCCTTATATGTCCTCTACTTGCAGAAGTATATGCTTGGACCTATCCTATAAGCAGTCTGCAATTCTTCACCTGTATGTCAGTTCCACAGTCAGCTCATACATACTAGTTAGTTTCAAAACTAACATTTAACCTAAGCTAGATTTGAATAATTCAAGTGATTAGGAGATTCAAAAATATACCATTACTAGATGTGCTTTCATATTGATGTAAAATTCTTTTTTGTTTGTTTGTTACACTTATATATTGCTTTATGTGTTAGTAAGCTGCCTAGAGTGGTCACAAGACCAGATAGGCAGGATATTAAATAAATAAATAAATAAATAAATACATAAATAAATAAATGAAT